TTTTGTTCTTACAAGAAACAAAGATAGTGGAGATAGTGGATTGATCGAAGAAGACTTGAGTTTTGGACTTTTCAAACTTTTTGATGGATTTGTTTGTAGTTTTGACTTTTGAACATCATCACCTCTTTGTATGATCTTAATCAAACGTTCAGTTTTAGGTATCAGCTTCAAGGATATGAAACAAATACTTGATCTATGGACGCATGATAACGTTTTAATTTTATTTAAGAGAAAACAAGCCAAATTCTACAGTAGATTTCATAATCTTAAGCATCTCCAATCCACTTCTATTTTTGTTTCTACTCTATCTTCGAGTAAAATTTACTCCAACTCATCCCTATTTTCTCCTCTAAATAGATATTGCTATAACTCTATTTCTTTCTCTATAATAGAGTTTTTTTTCTTTTCAAAGTAGTCCCTTAACTTTCAATTTTTTATTATGATTAAAATAGATAAATTAAACTATTATCATTTGTGGAAAATACACTAATGCCGATGCAATGTATTATTATTTTTATTTGATGCAATGTATTTAGTATAATAAATTATTATTTAAAATAATATGAAATTTTTGTAAAAGTTATAGTAATTTGTAATTTTTATAAATAAAAGGTATAATACTTAAAATAAAAATATAATCTATTTGGAATATTCTTTTTAGAGGAAAAAAATAGAAGAGTATATTGGAGTAAAAATCATCTCTATTATAGAGTTCCTCTATTTTAGAGGCAAAAATAGATAAATATATTGGAGATGGTCTTAGTTAAGAAAGAAAAAAAAATCTGGACTATTTAAACCCATAAAAATATTGTTAAAAATAAATTTAAAAATTGAAAAAAATGGCAAACTAAAAACGGGTTACAAAAAGGCTTAACCCTATTATGCAAAATTTAGCGGACTAAAAACGAGTTAGAGCTAATTTAGGGTCAGGTCGAGATGGCCCTAAGGCCATCTCCAACGGGACTGCAAAACTTTAAAATAGAGTGGGAATGTTACTTTTTACTCTCCAACCAAACTGTATAATTTACGCTATTATAGTGTGATTCCTTTTTTTGAACAGTATATCACTATATTTGGTGTGTTACTGTAGACAACTGCAAAAGATAAAATATTATTATTTTTTACTTTAGTATTATTATATATTAAAAAACTTGTATAGTTATAGCAGAGTAACTTTGATTTGTATTATTATTTACTAATCTAAATAATTTTTGTAACTAAAAAAGTTAATGTATCACTTTTTTTTGTATTTTAAATTTTGATAGTATAAATTATTAATTAGTCAGCCGTATTGAAACTAATACGCAATTTGATTGAAAATAGATAATAAAATACACTTTAACCATTTATGGTTTGTAATTATATATTAATTAATGAATTAAAAAACTATTAAATAATAAAGAGAACTTTTAGTTAACTAATATAATAATAGAGAATAGTACTTTTAGTGTAAAATTTGGTGTTGTGGTTGGAGAAGAAAAAAAATTTAGTGTTAAAGTTACACTAAATATAGTGTTATTTCAACACTAAAATAGTGTTATGGTTGGAAATGCCCTAAACCCTTTTTCAATATCCTTAACTATTTACCATTATCAATTTTTTAAAAATATAATTATATTTTGTTCTAAACAAAAAAACACAGTTACAAAACGCCAAAATAAACCGGTGACAACACCGGATCTCACATCTGCCATGGATGGTGAATCGGAAACAAATGGTTTCATCTACCAAACCCGACATCTACAAGGCCAAATCCTTTGCAGCTATTACACCATATAATCAATTTGCTATTATACTATGTCAATTATATATTGTTTCTACAAGGAGAGTCGATCTAGAAGAAATCCACATTATCCATGTATAGGTTTTACATCTAATAACGATTATTCAGAGTCTAATTTGGTTATTCAACATTTCTTTGAAATAGTCTATATTTTTAGTGCACAAGATATAATCCAATAATCCATTATATCGCATAATTTGACGAAGCATTTACACTTTAATACATTTGAAGTCTATCGATGTTCTGCCGTATGGCTAACGTACATCATATTTTAGAATACATGTTAACCTTAACAAATATGCATATTTTGTAACCCCTATCTTCTTCGTTTATGCTCTATTACTTTCCAATTAAGATGTTGATAAGAAGAATAAAGTAGAAAACAAAAACTAAACAAAAGAAAGTAAAAAAAACGGCTAAAGCCGGCTCTTTAACTAAAGCAAAAGTATAATTACTCATTAGTCATTACTTCATTAGTTAACTCTCTTAGTCTCTTTTTTCTTCAACAGCCGTCAATGGTAGGGTGTGAAGCAAATATAAATTGACAAAAATATTAAATTGGGGAAGACAATTATATATATGCCTCTTTGAGGAGCATTTGGATATATAGTGATGATGTTCGTCGATGTTTATTTGTGGTTGTCGATATTTAATTGGCCCAATTGCAGAAAAATGAGTCTATATTGGTGTTAGATTTAAACCATTGAGCTACCGATTTCTTCTTGACTAATAGATTTCAAAAACTTTTAAATTAATTTTGCTAGTTTAGTATAATTTCTTCATCACTGCACCACACTACCACAGCTCCAACTTTTCTTGTTATTGGTGATCATATATTTCAAACTATAATAATAATAAATGACATTGGTAAACACTAATTTTTCTTACAAGATCACAATAAAAAGAAAGAAAAAAGCTTTTCATTGTAGTCAAATACTCAAATTTCGTTTATTAAGTGCAGAAAGATATAAAGCAATAAAAGACTCAACGTGTCTTTTTTTCTGTTCATAATTTTGTTATTATAATCTTAATTGTTGTAGGCATCAGCTTTTGTCTCTTTTGCAAAATTCTCATGAAGAAATTTCACTTTCTTATTACTCTCTCTATTCCTAGAAAATTGATGTTTTAGAGTTTTCATATATATTAAGAAGCAATCATTGTTTAATTATTTGTCAATTACTTTTTATACTAAATATTTTTTAATAACTTTGAACCAATAGTATTAGAAAACAGTTAATCATTACGTCTTGAAATTTACGATATATTAATTTTAATCAATAAAAAGTAAAACAAAAACTTAAAAAATCAAACTTTATGGAACAAACTAAAACTCTAGACCTTCAAACTAAAACATGTTCTTTAAAGAAAAAGAAGAAGACACGTTCCTTGAGTATTGTGCAGTGTAAATCTTAATCGGATCTGTGTGTGCTTTGTGATTGTACAAGAACCTACTTTTTTGGGAGAAAGACAATGTTAATATTATGGAAACAATTAAGAAATTTTTACATTATATTTGTTTTTTTCGCCAATGTTTATATTTCAAGAATTTTCTTCCTTACATTGTATGTAACTTTTATATCCGAATTACTAGATTTTAACCCGCGGTACACCGCGGGATGATTTAATTTTAAAGTTAGTATAAAAATATTTTGTAAATTGTATCTCCTTATAACATATTTATTTATATTATAGTTTACAATTGTTATTAAGTAACAATATACCACGAGTCCACGAGATAATTATTAATAAACTGAGGATTTAACCCGTATTAAAGCGGTATTGATTCAAATTCGTCCGCCATATAAATCATTTCCGAAATATAACCCGTTCCGTAATTTCTTAACCCGTCATGTGATTTGTATTAAAAAAAATAAGGATTAAATTCGTATTGAAGCGGCGGATTAATGATATTTTAATCTTTTTATTATTGTTGATTCAAAAACCCGTCCCGCCAAATCCATCCCGCCAAAAAACTCATTTATTTTATTAATGTTCTTATTTATGATATGATTCTGAATCATTGTCTAAATATTTTAATCGATGTAGAACGTTGAACACACATTTTCGTCAATTGGATAATATATGTCCGTTTTTAAAATTTCGAATCACAGTATATGTAGAAAAAAAATTGGTTTTTTTTTTTACTTTATGTATTATATGATGATTCAAAACAGTTAAAAACAAATCAAACAAAGATGATAGGAGAATCATAATTATAAATCTTAATCAAATCTTCTAAAAATCTAAATTATTAAATATAGAATATCCGGTGTATGAGTTGGGTTAAATATAACCCGACCCAATAAATTTTTTGTGAAAGAATTTTTAAAATAGGTCAAATATCCGATATACCCGAAAGCTTTTTTATCCACTCGTCACAAAAAGTGCTGCGATTATACTAGTATAGATTGTTACATTTTTCATTATAAACTTCATGAAAATGTAAATAAAGCAGAGGCTCCCGGGCATTTAAATAGTAATATTGAGTTTGGTATTTGATAGCTAAAAAAGGTAAAGCCTTAAAACTAGGGAAAAGACATACGACATCAGTAAACATTGTACGTCCAACTGATTCTGTCTTTTAAAAGACATTAATGCCCTTACAAGTGTAATTGTTTTGTTTTACTTTACCGATCCATAACCTAATCCCTCTTACACCAAATAACACGATTTATTATTAGAATCTAACTTGAGGAAAAAAAAAATATATATTAGAATCTAACTTCGATGGAACAAGCTGCAGAGATAACCGTTAACTATTTGATTAAAAGCATTTGCACAGTAATTAGTTATAAAATGGTATTGAAAAAAAAAAATGGTATTGAAGAATCTTGTAAGTTATACTTATAACATAAGAACAAAAATATTTATTTATATTTTTAAGTTTCTTTATTTTTTCTAAAAAGATAAAGAAAACTCATGGACCGGCCGTACTCAATTTAATAAATAAGCCTATCAGTGAGTGTAAGCCTAGAAATATCCCGAAATAGGTTTAATTTTGAATAGTTAATAGATTGACCCACATGGAAGAATATAGAACTAAAAATAATGCGTAGTTATAGTCGATACGCGTACTCATAATAACGTATGGTCCATACTTATTCAGTCTAAATTATTCTTGGATCAAAGAAACTCAATGATGAATTTACACTTTAAAATCATAATTTAGTGACCAAAATACACTAATGGGGTGGGAACAAAATCAAGACTTTAATCATTATGATTCTACAGGCTCGGTGTCCTCAATTATAACACTAAAACATTAGAAAAACAACAAAAGATTACAGATTTTTAAAACGAAATTTATACATTTACAAAGTCCTCCAGATCCCATATACCAACTTTTAAAAACCTTTAAACCCCTCCCAAAAAAAAAAAAATATGATCTAAAACGAAATCGATTTAATCGATTACATTCACATCTAATCCGAATTGCAATAATAGATATACGTCGTTTTCGATTTTAAGTATTAGACATCGACTCACTTAACCACTTAACCGACTAATTAAGTAATTAAACCGGAAAATCTCACTAAACCATAAACCTTCCTTTTGACGAAGAGGTTTTGGTTCTTCTCCGATCATCGTCTTCTTCAGATTCTGAGTAGATAGATACTAAGCTCAGGAGCTCCATTACTATCAGGATTCATCATATAGAAAGCTTCTGAATCACGCGACCCAACAATCCTCTCAAACTTAGCCCTCATATACATTATATCTCCTCCTCCGCCGCCGCCGCCGCCGTCTGTCTCCTCCGTCTCCGGTAAAACTCCGGCGCCCATTGAAACCATCTTAAGAGCTTTCAAAACCTTTTTCTCCTTCTCAGCACACTCTCTCCTCGTCGCAAATCCACACTTTTTCCCATTACAATAAGTCCTCCATATCGGCTCTTCCACCAACCGCCGTGAAACCGCCGCCGTCGTCTTGTCTCCTCCGCCGTGACGTAAAGTTCCGTTTTTTTCATCTCCTTCTACTTCCTCTTTGCCCTTATCACACTCCAAAGCGATTCTAACGAGTCCTGAAGCCATCTCTTTAACTAACCCACTAATCGGAGTAGCGAGTTCGATTAAAAACGCCGGTGGAGAATTAGGATCTTTCTGAATTGAGAAATGCACGTGTCCACGACGAGATCCGAAAAGTGTACCCACGACCCGTGACCCGAGTCCGGTGTTGTGGTTACCGGGTCGTGCTCTGCTTAGAGTAGCGATAACTGACCGGAGACGAGAAACGGCGAAAGATTGAAGCTTTCTTTTGGGAGTGATTACAGTAGAAGAAGAGGAAGATGAAGAAGAAGAAGTGTGTTTAGTGTTATGAGGAAGATGTTTGTGAGAAGAAACGTCGTCGTTTTCGTCTGATCCCACTTTTCTTGTCCAGTGGAAACTATTGTGTCTCTTGGAGGTAAAGTCGCCATGTGAGTTTCCTTTGGCCATTGAAAGAGAAGCTAAAAGCTTTAGGGAGATGAGAGATATAGAGAGAATGTGGTACTGATCAAAGTTGTTGGTGTGAATTTAACTTGAGGGTTTGGTCTATTTGGTGACTATAATAAACTCTCTTTATCTTTCTTCTCTTTGCTTTTGTCTCTCTCTCTCTCTTGTCGTTGTGAGTGTGTTGGTGTGAGAGAGAAGATAATACAATTTGACAGAGAATCCGACTGTGATTTGGACCCCACCATTTTCATCTTTGTAGAGGATTTCGGAAAAATTAAAGTAGGAAAAAGAAAAGAGAAATATATTAGTTTCATATAAGTGTAGATTTGGCTTTTGCTTTTTAGTTCAATTTTATAGGTGTCAAGTGATTCGATTTGAGATTTAATTTTAGCTCAAAATAGTTGCATAAGTAGAGAATTTTTTTTTTTTTTTTTAAATGGCTTATGTTCAATTTTTGTTAGAGAAAAACTCGAAATGTTAAATAAAATCTCAACTGAGAGGAATAACCAATCAAGCCCTAAAGAGGAGAGGAATAATTTTTTTTATCTTTCATTCCTGTCAACATTAAACCTTTTGTTAGTATGAATTTTATCTACGTGAGAGTATAAGCTTAATGCATTTTTTAAATTTATGTATTGAAAAATATATAAAGAGTATATATATACAACAATGGTTATTTTAAGAAAAAATTGGTGCTGAAATTTGTAAATGTGGATCTCGTATATTTTTTAGTTATACTAATGTTTGGTTGTATTAATATAAAGTTAGAGAAAAAGTGGAGAGGAGGATTGTGTTTTTGTTGAATACTTTGGGAGAAACACGAGAAATGAGACAAAAGAAAGGAATCTGGGGACAAAGTGTGTGTGTTGTTTCATTTTCTATGTGGGGTAATCTACAAAGAGCCTCAATTTTGTTTGACTCAACCCTTTTTTTGACTTCAAATCTTTTATACAGTAAAAAGTGTCAAGTGTTTACCAAAATATAGTACACTTATATCAAATCCTTCTTCTTTATATCAAATCTTTTATTGTACATATATCTCTAATCATGTTAAAGATTCGTGGATGATTTCAAACAGTTTTTCAAATCAATGGATACGAAACAAATGAAAAAAAAAGTAATTTTAGATTTCAAAAGCAACATGGAATAAAAACGTTTCTAAAATAAAACAAATGTATGTGAATTGTTGAACCTCTTGTAATCTCCATTTTCCATCTCACTTCTTGTTCCATTATATGCGATTATTAGTTTTTCTTTACCATCAAAAGATTTTTATAGTTTTTGGCAGAAAAGTAAGATTTTTTTTTACTTTTACTGGTAAAAACCGCAAGACAATAATTTGACACAAGCGGCTTGACGTCATTATCCTTATCATTATCCTCATTGTTAAGAGAATGATTAACAATGAGTCCAAAAATAGAGATTTAAACAAGCTTTATAATTTAATATAATGGAAAATCTACAATTTAGACACTTGAAAAAGATTTATTGTTAAAATTGTTCAATGATGGGATCCAAATATAGAAGGTCTAAAAGTTTAAATTTTTGAAAGAATGTGTCAAATTGTTTGTGTATACAAAAGCTTCTACCAATAAAAAACTGACACGTATGCGAGTCTAAAATATTTCTAAATATCCATCTTTGGACTCGGATCTATTGTTTTATGGTATTTTATAATTAAATTTTTGGACACAAAAACTTTGGATCTCTACTTAAATATCCCGTTAATCATGCTCTTAACGACTCAATAATTATTGTAAACACCATTGGAAACTTAAATCATGCATATTGTTTAGGTCAAGAACATGAACTAGTTAAAAAAAATTGCGTATGATTTTTCATGGAAAAAAGTTCAATTTCATCACTTTATCATATCGACAATATTGCAATATAATCTATTATCAGACTATACAACCACTATAGGTTTCCATTAATCTGTCGTTTCAAGAAGTTAAACATATAACAAGAGTACAAGACTCGATACTAATTGGAACATAGGTAGTTAATTTTATGGTTTATAGGTTCAAGTACTTGTCTAATATAACATTAAAACCAAAAAGAAGTAATTGTCTAATACTTACAGAGTATGGATTATAATGGAAAAATTAATGTATTTAAGTATTCAACTATTCATTGATGTGTGAATTTGATATTATTGTTTTATATAGTCTCAATTCAGTACAAAATATTCTCGAATAAAGATTGGTGTGACGGGCCATTGAGAGGCATACAACATTCGACAGGCTTTGTCTTTGTTTGTATATCAAAGAATAACACCATCGTGCTATAATAATAATACAAAGGATGAAAGGAATGTATAATAATGTTACAGAATAATAAGAAGTTATGTAGTTGGGATTAATCGACGTCATAAAAAAATAGAGACATAATGAAATAGGTCTGTTCTGATTCTCCTCTTATTTAGTTGTCGGGTGCAGAGTAAACAGAAACCTGCGAACTGACACGTCACTCCGGTGATGGTCCTTATTGAATTAAGGCTTTGATCAAGAACACCAAACTTAAGAATAACTCTCTTTTATTAAGCTTTAGAAATTACTCAAACTAAAACTCAATCTCATAAGTTGTATCACACCTTGATACCTCCTTATATAACAAAAGCTATTGACCTAATCATAACTCAATTAGGACTTGTATTAGATAACTCCTAATACATTTATTCTAGATAACTCCTAGAATATTCAGCTTTATCTCTTTTACATTTTAGTAACTTATCTCTTAAGTTATTTCAAGTTTATCCCAACATATTCCCCCTTAAACTTGAAACCTTCCTTCGACACATCTTTAACACCAATGAGATCTCTCATCTCCTTAAACTTAATCCTCCCTAGTGCCTTTGTCAATATATCGGCCTTTTGCTCTTCTCCCGGAACGTGTTCTAACTCAACCTGCTCGTTCTCAACACATTCCCTTATGAAATGGTACCTTTTATGAATGTGCTTGCTTCGACCATGAAAAACCGGGTTCTTGGCAAGAGCTATAGCCGACTTATTGTCTATTCGAAGTGTTACCTTCTCACAATCTTCAGCCGTAACTTCACTAAGTAGTTCTTGCAACCATATCGCCTGTTTCGCAGCTTCGGTGGCGGCCATAAACTCAGCTTCGCATGATGATAATGCCACGGTATTTTGCTTTTGTGTGCACCAAGTGATTGGACACTCATGTAAATAAAAAACATGACCAGTAGTACTCTTACCATCATCCTCATCAACATTATGGGAGCTATCACTATATCCCACAAGTCTTGTTTCAGCTCCCCGAGTGAAAGTCAAACCGTAACCTTGTGTGCCCTTTAAATATCGAAGAACTTGCTTGAGTGCCAAACCATGAGACTCCTTTGGCTCTTGCATATACCTACTCAATACACCAACACAAAATGAGAGGTCCGGTCTTGTATGTAGTAAATAACGGAGACAGCCAATGTTTCTCCGATACTCCTTCTCATCAACATCCTTCTCTTCATGTGCTTTGCTCAGCTTTAAGTTTGAATTCATTGGAGTGTGTACTGCATTACACTCTCCCATTCCGGTTTCATTCAATATCTTCGAGGCATACCTTTCTTGCTTCAATGTAATTCCTCCTTTGTGTTGACATACTTCAATTCCTAGATAGTATGTTAACAAGCCGAGATCACTCATTTCAAATTTGATTGCCATGCCTTTCTTAAATTCGAGGATCAATTCCAAGCTTGAACCTGTCACGAGTAAATCATCTACATAGACTGCAACTAGAAGAAGTTTCTCCTTGTCTTGTTTTCGATATAACGATGGTTCTTTAGAGCACTTAGCAAACTTTAATTCTTGAAGAATAGAATTGAGCTTATTGTTCCAAGCTCTAGGAGCTTGCTTCAATCCGTAAAGTGCTTTGTTTAACTTGTAGACCTTGTCCTCATTCCCTTTGATCGCATATCCTTCTGGTTGGCTCACATACACTTCTTCCTTTAGTTCTCCGTGAAGAAATGCGGTCTTTACGTCAAGATGATGAACCTCCCAACCATGAGAAGCCGCAAGAGCAATGATGAAGCGAATTGTTTCAATCCGTGCTACCGGTGCAAAGACTTCATCGAAATCTATCCCATAGCGTTGAACGTAACCTTTCGCCACAAGCCTTGCCTTGTATTTGTTGATACTACCGTCGGAGTTTCGTTTCACCTTGAAGACCCACTTTAAACCAATTGATTTTGCTCCTTTGGGAAGTTCTGTCAAATTCCATGTCTTGTTTTTGTTTATTGATCCGATCTCCTCCTCACATGCATCTCTCCAGACTTTTAGTTCCTTTGCCTCATTGTAATCCCATGGTTCCTCACTTATTGCCATCAAGAGTCTTTCAATTTCAAGTTCAGCAAACATGACATAGTCGTTTAAATAGCTTGGCTTATGACTTTGTCTCCCGGATCTGCGTAACACTGGAACATCACTAGACTGATTCTGTTCGTCATTCTCGCAGCTTGGTATCGATTCGAAATCACCTGAGGCTGCATCGTCATTGTCTTCGTTTCTGTCCTCATCTCTGTTCTCCTCTCTGTTTTCCCCTGTTTCATCTGTTTGGACATTTTGAATACCATTATTTCCATATTTCCCAAAACTGAGTTTAAACATTCCTGGACTGTCTTCAGCATCTTCTTCTCTATTATTCCATTGCCAGCTTTTATTCTCATCGAAAATCACATCTCTACTGACAACTATTTTTCTTCTTGTTGGATCTAATAATCGGTAAGCTTTGGAACCGGGTTCTGTTCCTAAGTGTATCAACATTTTCGATCTATCATCAAGTTTCTTCAGGTTAGCTGTCTCTGTTTTTGCGAATCCGACGCATCCAAACACACGTAAATGCCCAATGCTTGGTTTTCTTCCCTTGAAAGCTTCATACGGAGTTAGAGAGACTAGAGATCTTGTCGCAATCCTATTTATCAGGTAGGTAGCATGTCTCACCGCCTCTCCCCAAAGATAATTAGGTACATTCATATGCTTCATTATGCTTCTAGTCATCTCCATCAAAGTCCTGTTCCGTCTCTCAACGACCCCATTCTGTTGTGGTGAGTATGGTGCGGTTAGATGCCGTGTGATTCCGGAGTTGTCACAGAAAGATTGAAACTCATGAGAGGTGAACTCTCCACCTCTATCTGTTCGGAATGTTTTGATCTTGTTCCCTGTTTCTTGTTCAACTAGTGCCTTGAATTTTTTAAATTTCTCAAATGCTTCACTCTTCTCCTTTAGTAAAACTGACCACATGTACCGAGAATAATCATCTATTAGGACAAAGATGTACCTATTTTGTGCTGCAGTAGGAGGTGTAATAGGCCCACAAAGATCCCCATGTATAAGTTCAAGTGGTGTTGAGGCTCGAAATGTAGTAGCTTGAGGGAATGCTCTTCTGACCTGCTTCCCAAGTAAGCATGAAGCACAAGTTTCCTTCTCAATCGAGATGCTTGGTAGTCCGATTACCAGTTCTTTGTTTATCATAGTCTTCATGGTATCTAGGGCAACATGTCCTAGTCTAGAGTGCCATAATGTTGAATAACTTGTTGTTAGCTGGAGACACTTCTTTGCTTCGATCTCCATGGTTACTTTGTAAAGTCGATTTCTGGACCTGACTGCTCTTACAAGTAACTTTCCGGTTTTGTCACATAACGTCAAGTAGTTATCTTTCATTCTCACATCACAACCTGCCTCCGTAGCTTGCCCGAGACTTATGATATTGCTCTTCAAATCTGGTATGAAATAAACATCTGCTAGTACCTTTTGCTCTCCATTCTTGCTCACAAAGAGAATTGATCCTTTACCTTTGATATCTATGCGGGAGTCATCACCAAATCGTACTTTTCCCGTGACCGTCTCGTCAATCTTGGAAAAATACTCACGATTACCCGTCATATGATTACTCGCCCCGTTGTCAAGATACCACACATTGTCTCCATCAAGTTGTGTCTCAAATGTGCTTGGTTTGACGTTTTTCTCATTTAAGAAAATAATCTCATGCATCATTAACCCATCAGCCTCTATGGTCTCTTCCTCCTCATTTGCTTGAGCTTCTTGAAGTTTAAGTAATCTATCAGGACAATTAGAAGCATAGTGCCCAACTTTATCACACCTATAGCATGTTACCTTGTTCTTATCCCGGGGTCCTCCATTGTTCTGTTGGTTTCCATAGCTTTGAATGCTTCCGAAACGACCTCTTCCTCTACCACGTCCATTGAAACGACCTCTTCCTCTGCTTGCATACCAATTCTCTTGATAGGACTGTCCTTCTGTATTAGCATACATGAGCTTCCCTTGATCAGCTTGTTGTTCTTCGTCATCACAGATTCTTTCTTCATATGTTTTTATTCTTCCTACGATATCCTCAAAACTGATTTTGTTGAGATCAAGGACTTGCTCCAATGCCGCAATAATATGAATATAACGTTTCCTTGGTAAACTGTTTAAGAATTTCTTCACAAGCTTTGGTGTTTCAATAGTTACTCCCAGTGATGCGGATTTTGTGGCTAATTCTGAAAGTTTCCCTTCAAAGGCATCAATTGTATCAGTTTCCTTCATCTTCATCCTCTCAAATTCAGCCATCAAAGTTTGTAGCCTTGCTTCTTTGACTCGTTCAGCTCCTACATGCTTAGTCTTAATCGAATCCCAAACCTTCTTTGCATTGTCTTGTTCTCCAACTTGTAGTATGAGTGCCTCCGGTATGGACTGAAACAATAAAGCCCTTGCTACGTCGTGTTTCTCTTCATCCTCTGATCCCGGGTCGATGGTCTCCCAGACCTTGTGTACTTTGAGTGTTGCTCGCATCCGCATTACCCATACGGTATAATTCGTATCGTTGAGCATGGGACACTTAATCGATGAGGAAGAACCACCTTCCTTAGCTTTTACAGCAACTATGTCTCCCATGGTTCTAAAAACCAGAGTTTGTCAATGGCTTTTGACGTTCTCCGATTAATGATTCTGTTTTGAGAAACAGAGTTTTGCTCCTTCGTTACCCTTCTTAATTCAATAAGTAGCTCTGATACCAAATATTGAATTAAGGCTTTGATCAAGAACACCAAACTTAAGAATAACTCTCTTTTATTAAGCTTTAGAAATTACTCAAACTAAAACTCAATCTCATAAGTTGTATCACACCTTGATACCTCCTTATATAACAAAAGCTATTGACCTAATCATAACTCAATTAGGACTTGTATTAGATAACTCCTAATACATTTATTCTAGATAACTCCTAGAATATTCAGCTTTATCTCTTTTACATTTTAGTAACTTATCTCTTAAGTTATTTCAAGTTTATCCCAACAGTCCTAGTACCTTCCCCTTCCTTCGACTCTCCCTCACTCCTACTTTTTTTTTGGGGTCAAAACTCCTCCTACCTTTTATATGCTTTAATTAATGATGTCATAATTCATCAGTTTATATACATTTTTGGTAAGAAACTAAATATTAATGAATCATTTGTCTTTGTTTTGTAAGAAACTATATATTTAATGAACAATTCGTCTTTGTTTCTATTAATGCCAAAAGACAAAACATACAAACCAAGTCAGTTTTTTTTGGTTATTATGAGTTAACCGAAGTATTATTTCTAGACGATTACCGAAAAGAAATTCAATTTGGTTTGGTTTTATTCTTTTTTCTTTTCTAAACTCGGTTAAATTTGAATATTTTTTGTAGTTCTGTTCGATTTGTAATCAGGTATTTGGAAAACAACGATCTAATTTTGGTAAAAATCGGTCTAATTTTGATACAATCTGGTTACTTTTAAAAACAAACAATTATCTGAGAAACCAATGTCAAACCGAACAGAAATTCTCAGGTTACCAAAGCCTAATTGAAAATATGCCGATCGGTTCAGCCTAGAGAAACAAAACCAAGCCGAAAACCAAAAATCTCGGTTCGGCTCAGTTCGGGTCAAAATCGCAGGACTAGGTGTTCGTATCTATTGGGCAAATGTTAACACTAAACAATGACCGCATTGTGTGTATGGAAAGACAATTACACCAATCACCAAATTTATCCGCTTTGGTGTAGACCTGACACACCGTGCTTAGTCAAGAAGACACAAGTAACACCAAACAAGGAATGCTTACTAATTACATCTGAATCACAAGTGTTTTTAGATCATGAAACACTAACTAACATATATCATACTAAGAGCATATAAACAGAGGACAGATGCGTCTGAACTTACAAGGGAATGTTAAAAGGATGTTTTCTTTCTTGCCTATGATTCGAAGAACACTTACCCTTACGGATTCAGTTAGCTTTGCGGACTTCTCTGGTCAGTTTCTGGATGTTCAGGTTGAGGAACCGAAACACCTCCATTCATTCTTGCACGTGCTTCCGCAAACATACGTTGTTGCTCAGCAGCTGCTTCCTCTTCAGTCATTTGAGCTCCACTATTCCATTTCACGCTCCTCTGTGTGTCCTGCTATAGAGTTCCAAATTTAGAAGACTGTTAACTTTAACCGTTTCTTCGTCTCCTCGTGATCAAGAGTAAGAGAAGAAAGTAGAGAATTATTATTACCATAGTTTCATACTTATGTTGCTCATACGCAGCATAAACTTCTTCAATGTATTCTCCAAAACCAAGAACCTGTAATGCCTTGAGAACATGCTCAGGAGCAATCGTCCGTTTATCCTCTTTGTTACAAACGTCATTAGCTTCTGAAGATACAAGATTTATAAACTCTGCAAAAATGTTTGAAATGTCCATAACCTAACCACAATAAGAAAACCAAGAACACTCTCATATATAGATGAAAGCGTAGGTAAACTATATGATCTTACCTACACAACATTCAATGAGAAGATCTTGAGCATCTCTAGCAACACGAACATCTGGTGGTAACATCTCCTTTATAATCTTAGTCATCGTAGCTAAATCAATAAGAGAACAAAACATATTCTTAGCGAGATAAACAAATCATGAAGTTTCTTATGCTCATGAATCCTATAACCATCAAGCAGTGGATCGGAAAAAAACTAACCTTTAGGAAGAGAAGCGTCTTCCTTGGATTTGCCGACTATATCCATTGGATCCATCGTTTAATCTACAGAATTCATCAGGTTCAAGAGTAAGATGCTTGTACACGAAGATCTGCATACAGAGCAATCAAGGGGCGATCGAAAAAAACGAGAAAATAGAGATAATTGACTCACCGTAACTGAGTCAACACGGTTTAAAGAGAAGATCCGAATCAGAAAGCAGACGAGTCAACCGAGTCGCGGTGAGATCTGGCGCCGGGAAGTCGATCGGATTGTACGGAATCTTATCGGAGGAATTTTCTCTCTCCTTCGCGTTCTCTAGCAGAGTCGACTAGGGCAAACGGAAGACGCAAAAGCGCGTGAATCCCACTTTCTTTTACAACAGCTTGGAGACGGCGCGTGAAGATAACTTTAACTTCTTGTAGAAATTGGATTTTAAAAACCAAAACCAAAATGGGCCGGAGATTGACCCGAACCAGGCCCATTTATCTCCTCCATCATATTCTGATTTTGCTTTCTTCTCCGAGACTGGTTTAGAATCTCGAATTGCTGCCTCTCTCGGTGGTGAAGACAATGGGGTCAGACGAGGAAGATTTCGTGTTTCATGGGACACCAATAGAGCGCGAAGAAGAAATCGGGAGTCGGAAGAAGAAAGCAGTCGCTGGGGCTTCAGGCAATCTAAGAACTCTCCCTGCTTGGAAGCAAGAGGTGAGTTTTTCTTTGATCTTCTAGTTCGTCTGTTTAGTTGCTGGTGAATTAGGGAAATTAAGCATCGCGAGACTCGCTTTGGTTATGAACATGGAAGTTTTGTTATTGTGATTTTAACTTACTGTAGATAGCTTAATAGGTTTCAATGTCGAGTGAGGTTAGAGAGATAGTATATTAGTAATTGGAGTAGTGGGAGGGAGCTTAAACAGCTTGAAAAATTGTGAGTATCTGAGAATTAACCTTGTGCAATGAAATCAAAGTGAATGTCTCTATCTAAGCTGGTTTAATACTGCAAAACATGTTGGATTGATGTGTATCTGAGATTTAGTTATATGCTGTGTTTATTCTTGTTTGTGAATGTATCTATGAATAGTTATTAGATTGATAATCTGTATATAGGCGTTGCCTTGTAGTTATTTTGAAATAAAACTTTATTAGTGTTGGTATCTTCCTTGGTCTATAATTGCAAACTAATTGAAGCAATCTGCGTTGAGAATTTGTCTCCTTACTAATGGATGCATGGTATTGCTTTGAATTCCTTGTCCAGGTTCTTTGTGCGCATGCTTTCCACTATGATTGTTTTACTGGAAATAACGTCTATCTGTATATAGTTATATTATGAGGAAAGCTGCTAACATGTCAAGTCTTACCAAACTCAGGTGACTGATGAAGAAGGCCGGAGAAGGTTCCATGGAGCATTTACTGGTGGATATTCTGCTGGGTATTACAATACAGTGGGATCAAAAGAGGGTAAAGTTTACATTACCTGAACTTTAGAGACTTTTATCTGTGCTTTTCTGTTTACAATCTAATTCGAACTTCAGGCTGGGCTCCACAGTCATTTACATCTTCAAGGAAGAACAGAGCTGGAGCGAGAAAGCAAAGTATCTCAGACTTTCTAGATGAAGATGAAAAGGCTGTATGTTTCATCTTTATCTCCTTGTTAGATCCGTTCAAGCTTTATTTCGAGTCATTTTTAAGCTTGTCAAAGTTTGATTACCGCATATTGCATAATTCTTTAACGATGTTACACCATTCTAAATGATTTTTCATTTCAGGATATGGAGGGCAAGTCACTGTCTGCGAGCTCACAATTTGACACATTTGGGTTTACGGCAGCTGAACATTCCCGAAAGCAAGCTGAGAAAGAACAGCATGAGAGGTCTCTGTGTACTTATGTGTCATATTTTTTTAATTATTTCTTATCAATCTTTCTAATATGCTTTGCAATCATTGGAAGCTTGTTAAGAGCTATGTTAGGCTGTAATTTTGGTGGGGCTCCATTTACTTTGGCATTAGTGATAATGTTTAGAGATTGTGTGATAGTCTATTTTCTATAAGAAGTTGCTACAAGTTATGGTTCCCTTTCTCTCATTCAAGTTGGCTATGAAGTTGCTATCTATATATTTTATGCTTCGTTTGTAACATATTGTTTCTGTTTCACAGGCCATCAGCCATTCCTGGCCCAGTTCCTGACGAACTTGTTGCTCCAGTTTCAGAGTCAATTGGTTAGTTTCTATAAGCCTCTTTAATATTTTGCAAAAGTTCCTTCTCTTTTGTTCTCTTTATTTTCGAATGCATCAAGTGGAGAAATCCTGATCTCACATATATGCTTCTTTATATTGTTCAGGGGTCAAACTTTTGCTAAAGATGGGATGGCGGCGTGGTCATTCAATAAAGGATGTGCGTGCCAGTTCAGGTTTGAACTTGTTTAACATGCACTAATCCATAATCTTCTTTTGTTTTGTGCACCAATAAAAACCGTCAGTACTTTTTTTATTTTGGAAATTCACAGCAAGCTATTTATTTTGTGCCTCTCTCTTTTATACCTTGTTGGTGCAGATGCTCGTAGAGAAGCTAGAAAAGCATTCTTAGCCTTCTCTACTGATGAGAATACAAAGGAAACTCCCGACTCACTGGTTTCGGAGACTGAAGTGGAAACTTCTCTGGGTCCACAGTTTAGTGAAGATATTAAACTTTCTGAAAGCACTCCTGTGAGTAAATTTTCCAGTTTCTCTTTTCAAACGAGCTTTATATTGTTGATTGTAATTGCTACTGGTGTGATACATCTATTAGTCATATTTTTCTTGAATTTCTCTTCTACATTTTATTAACATAGTGCTATGAATACTGCTTCAAATCTGCTGCCGAGGTTCTTCAGATAGTACCCTCAGTTACATTGATTGTGATTATATCCTTTGTTCCTCCTTTATCTGTTGCAGGTATATGTTCTCAATCCAAAGCAAGATCTGCATGGATTAGGATATGATCCTTTTAAGCATGCTCCTGAATTTAGAGGTATCTAGTTTGGACTTTTTATGATGTTTCTGCTGACAGGGCATTCTTGGTCATTGACTTGCTTCACATTTTTCTGATCCATAGAAAAGAAAAGATCTCGCTTGTCTGCCAATAAGGAGGTTGGCTTCAGAAAACCTTTATCAATGAAGGAAAGTCTTTTTGGACCCAAATGTAAGATTTTGACTCACCATTTTTTCTTTTCTTTCTTGTTAATTTTCTCTTCGTTGCTTAAAAATACTTACATGCATCTATAGCGTATCTCTATGCCAGCTTTTACTTGGCATTCTTGTTGCGTGAAAACTACTCATGGGTTGTGTCAGTTACTAATATGAGTTAAACAATCAGCAGGAAAGATTGCTCCGGGATTTGGCATTGGAGCACTTGAGGAACTTGATGTTGAGGATGAAGATGTCTATGCTGGTAAGGACAGAAGAGCTATTTCCCTCATCATGGTTTCTTTGTTCATATATGTATAAGTGTCTGTTTAGGTTGAACTATTATTTATTCTAGAGATGACAAACCATTGTCCACAGTGGTTAACTTATAGCTTATGTATGTTGTAAAAGTAATTTGCTATTGAAAAAGAATAATACTGGTAATAGGTGCAAAAACTTGCTTGACAATTTGATGTGTTAGTTTTGGATTTATCAACTGCCTGTTACTCAGAATATGCTGCAATACCAAAGTGTTTTTCTTTTCTTTCAGGTTACGATTTTGATCAGACTTATGTCATAGAAGATGAACAGCCAGCTAGACCGAGCAATGACAATAGACTGAGGTTAACCTCAAAAGAGCATGACGTTCTGCCAGGTTTTGGAGCTGCTAAGAATTCTGACTACAGTATGGAGAGGTAATTCAAACTAATGTTTCAATGATTCACAAACATGAGGACATTGTTAAATCAGATTAATAAAATTTCATGTCTAATTTGCTCTCAGAATTTTCTGATTATGGCTACTTACTTTCATATGTACAGATAGTCTAATTCATATCATTGTGTGCTCTGTATACTATGTCAGATTTAATCCTCCGAATATCCCCAAGGATTTTGTGGCGCGGCATAAATTTTCTGGTCCTCTTGAGGCTGAAACTAAGCCAACTGTTTCTGCTCCTCCAGATGTTCCGCCCCCTGCAGATAATAATCTGAAACTTTTGATCGAAGGGTTTGCAACTTTTGTTTCCCGTTGCGGGAAACTATATGAGGATCTTTCTAGAGAGAAGAACCAATCAAATCAGCTGTTTGATTTTCTTCGGGGAGGTAACGGTCATGACTACTACAGAAGAAGGCTGTGGGAGGAGCAGCAAAAGCGCAGTGATCAAAGTAAGCTGACATTAGATGTTAAGCAGTCTCCAACCGTACCGAAAATGACTGCAGAAACACGTGGCAGCTTATTAGGGGAAAAGCCACTTCAGAGAAGTTTGAAAGAAACCGATACTTCTGCTTCTTCTGGAGGCTCCTTCCAGTTCCCGACCAATCTCTCTGACACATTCACCAAATCAGCTTCATCTGTAAGTAAACAACTTCACACCTTATAAGACTTTCTGCTTGATTACACTTGGTAGTTGAGGTTCAAGGAAAGGATATGCCTTTGTTTTCCTTGCACTTACATTCTAGACTTATCTTTCTCTCCTTGAAATAGCAAGAGGCAGCAGATGCTGTGAAGCCCTTCAAAGATGATCCGGCTAAACAAGAAAGATTTGAGCAGTTTTTCAAGGAGAAATACAAAGGAGGGTTACGTACAACAGACTCCAACAGAGTTAACAGCATGTCGGAATCAGCTCGTGCTCAAGAGAGGCTGGACTTTGAGGCTGCAGCTGAGGCAATTGAGAAAGGGAAAGCTTACAAGGAGGTTAGACGGGCTACTGAACAGCCTATCGACTTCCTTGCAGGAGGGCTGCAGTTTACTTCTGGTGGAACAGAGGTATGTCTACAGAATCTTCTTTGCAGTTTTCATTTGGAATTTCAATGCTCATACGTAAAACTTTCTTTTACAGCAAATTAAAGACACTGGCGTGGTAGACATGAAATCGAGTAAGACGTATCCTAAAAGGGAAGAGTTCCAATGGCGTCCTTCACCTCTTTTGTGCAAGCGTTTTGATCTTCCTGATCCGTTCATGGGAAAGGTAAACAAGTGGTTCCTTGCTTCTCCTTCATGAGTCATTTAAAGCTTAAATCCATTGAACACTAGAAAATAGCTTCCTCTACACATCAAACGATTAATATTTTATTCTGGAGAGCACTTGTTAGTGAAGTTTTGCATAATCATGACTTTAATTACATCAAATGCAATTTGCTCAGATATGGTGAGATATGTTAACAATGAATGATGTGCATGTTAAGATAAAAAAGGACAGTGAGACACTGTTCGACTTGATCTCTTTTGTTTAGGTGTAGAGTATACAATTTTCAGTGCCGTCTTCTTGCTTAGGTGTAAAATTTAGTACTTGATTGATCAATACATTCCATTAAATTTTACAGCTGCCACCTGCTCCGCGAGCGAGAAACAAGATGGATTCTCTCATATTCTTGCCAGATACAGTGAAAGCTGCATGTACACGTCAAGTATCTGAGTCGCAAGAACCTAAGACAGAGACATCAATAGAAGAGCCTGAAGTTGAGGTAGAAGTGGAGAATGTGGAGAGGCCTGTTGATCTTTACAAGGTAAAGCGGGTGTCTTTGTCTGAGAAGGTTTATGCTAGCTCAATTTGATGTATTCGATTTATTAATATTCGGTCATGTTCACTTGTAGGCCATCTTCTCTGATGATTCTGAAGATGATGAAGATCAACCAATAAATGGAAAGATACAAGAGGGTCAAGAAAAGAAGAATGAAGCGGCTGCAACCACATTAAACCGTCTAATAGCTGGTGACTTTCTTGAATCTCTAGGGAAAGAACTAGGGTTCGAAGTACCTTCTGATGTCCCATACCAGGAAGGAATCAAGCCAATGGAAGAAGAGAGCAAGTCCAGAAGCAAACCGGAAGACTCTTCGGATAAAAGACGTGATCGATCGGGACTGAAAGAGAAAGTGGAGGAGAAGAGAAGCAGCCTCATACTTGGGTCTGAAGAAGAAAAGAGTAGAAAAAAAAGAGAGAAATCGCCAAGAAAAGGAAGTGGTGGCAACAATCTATCATCGGGTGAATTCTCAGGAGATGAACGGAGGAGAAAACGATCTAATAAGAAGGATAGACCCATTGATTCAGAGAGCGATTCATCCAGCGACTACCACAGCAGGGATAAGCAAGGATCAAGATCAAGAAGAAAGCGAAGAGAATCTTCTAGAGAGAAGAGAAGTAGCCACAAGAAACACTCAAAGCATCACAGGACCAAGAAGTCATCTTCTTCTCGGTATAGCTCAGACGAAGAACAAAAAGAGTCAAGGCGGGAGAAGAAGAGGCGACGAGACTGAAACCTAATCAGAGCTGTTGACTCATTAAACTCGGGAGATATCAGAGCACTTGCATAGATTTTTGTATGAACATTGAAACAACGTAGTTTCGAGGTACGCAATGAATGATTCTCTGCACTGTCTCGAGATGGACACAGGTTAGATAGCAAATGATGAGCTTGTTGTTGGGTTCATTGTCTCCTATGAGGTAGAGAGCGATATAGTCCTTTACTTTATTTATATTGGTAAAATAATTAGATTATGCGTTTGAATTAAAATTTTTTTTTGCAAAATTGAAAGATGTTATACAAGAAATTCACAAATAAGAGTGTTATCTTTCTCTATTTATACTAGAAAAGTCTTAAAAACATTGATTATATAGTACATAATTATGTTTAATAAACCGAATATTTAAAGACTATCACAAATCCTACAAACTCTCAACTCCGCACACATTAAAGCAAACTTGCTACAACATCATGCTTATTGCTTGAAGAATCCAAAACGGCACGAGCGGTTTCCAAAACGCTTTGACCGCAAACGTAATGACTCCGACACACAGGCATATAAACTTCAGCTCCGCCGATCAACTCCGTCTCTTTCTCCTCCGTCTTCCTCATCGTAAACAAAGCTCTCTTCCCACAAACCTCACACCGTGACGTCAGCTTCGTAACCGTATCCGCAATTGGAATCAAATCAAGCACCGAACCAAACCTCCTCCGCTTAAAATCACCATCCAATCCAGCAACAATTACAGTTTTACCCTCTCTATCAGCAGCTTGACGGCAAAACTCGTATAGATCTCCGAAGAATTGAGCTTCGTCGATTCCAATCACATCTAATCGATTCTCGTATTCGTCGAATCCGAACCTCTCTTTGAAGGACGAGAGATCGGGAAGTGACCAGCAAGGGAATTTCTCACCGTCGTGAGTAACTATTGATTCAGTGCAGTATCTTGTGTCTTTGTTTGATTTGATGATTGCGATTTGTTTACCGGTTTCTTTTTCGGCGAGGATACGGCGGAGAAGTGTTGTGGTTTTACCGGAGAACATTGGTCCGACGACTACGTGTATTTCGCCGGGAGTTGTGAAAGAGAGCGGCGCCGTCGCTTTCGTTTGTAGTTTTCTGGTGGAAATGGCGGAGGGAGGTGCATTTGTGGGGGATCTGTTGTTGATTGAGATGGTGGAAGTGGTGAGGGAGGAGAAGCGAAGAGCGGTGGAGAAGAGAGAAGGTTTAGGGAGATGAAGAGAGAAAGGAGCAAGAGATGGTGAGATTAATGTTCTCATCGAAACACCAAACATTTGATGACAGTGGGAAGGAGGAGGAGGAAGAAGAAGCCGCAAGGAATTAGGGTTTATTGGGAAAAGGGGTTTATTGGAACGACTCTTTAGTAGTACTTTTTTTTTTTGTATTAATGGATAGCTAGTTTTGGAGAACAAGCTAAGAATTTTAACAGATTTCTAAAAAAAATAACACTATTTTGATTATATAAAACATTAAATCATTCAAGCTAGTTTCATGACCAATAAATAGTTTTAAATCGAAAAAAAAACATTTGGAAAGAGAAAAAGGAAACTAGAATGAAAAAACAATATCTTTAGAGGTGAGAATGATAATGTTTAAATGGTATGGAGTGCCTCATCGCGACTTTGATGAGGAATTTTGGTTTCATCTCAGATTTATATTCTAGTTAATCGATCTGAGTGGTGTACGTTTGCAGTAGAAATTCAACATTTTAAGTTTTTGAAACTTTCTTTCCTAGCTTTTATATTACATTCAGCTCACGTTGTAGCATTGTCTGTACCGATTGCGTAGCAAAAAAAGCAAGAGCACGAGGTTTTATAATTTCCCATACATCGGTTCCGGATTGGTTCTTTTTAGAAGAAAGTATTCACCCGATAACTTAATATAATGGTGTTTTTATTGAAAAAAGAAAGATGGTATGGGGTCGAAGCTAACCCTTCTCTTCGGTCTAGTTTGGAGACTAAGCAATTGCACTACGATTGGGCTATGTCTTGTGTGGACAAATCTCAAATTCATTCATTGGTGTAGTATTTGAGAGTGACTAACATTGATTCAAGTAGTAAAGACCCACCAGCTTTGCCAAGACTAAGTGATCTGACTTATATTTTTGTATGATCGATCTTACTTTGCAAAGATCAGACAACACAAATCATCCGACAATACAGGGATAATCACAGCTTTTGCTTCCATACATACATGTGATTTTTGGTCCTAGTAAAATTTGAATAATCTACATATTATCACATATCTATCCACCAGTACGCCATATATCTAGTTCGACCACTAAGTTTGAAATATTATGCGCTTTTTATTACAAATTTCTAAAATATTCATATTTTAATTTTATTTCTAAACTACAATAATACTAGAAGAAATGAAAAGGTTTACAAAATGGAAAGATTAATTTTGACAAAGAAAAAAAGAAGAGGAAAATTATATAAATGAAAAGAAGTAAAAAAAAAAAAAAAAAGCAAGTGTGAGAATCATTAGTCTGTCAATCATAGACTGGATTTTTTTTTTGACCAAAAGGACAAAAGACGAGGATGAGAGAAATATATATCTGTACGGCAAAACGGTGAGTCATCAGATTCCTCCATTCAAATCTCCTCTCCTCCCAGTTATTCTCACATGCATGTATCATATGTTAGTAACCACACGCTTCTCTCTCTCTTTCTATATATATGAGCTCGTAGATTTATAATTACTCTGCATCTATGCACTTCTGTCTAAATTTATCTAAATGTTTTTTTTTTTTTGTCTTTTTTTGAGATCAATAATGATTTGTGTTCATCAACCAGATCTGTGAATTATTTTTGTTTGTTTCTTTTTTTTTTTTAGTTCTCTCCTCATTTTTATGTTTGGATTTAGAGTGAAGTCGCTGGAGGCAGCGGTTCATCGATCAATTCCTGTGAATATTTTTGTTTTCAAAAGCATGAATCGATCGATAAACCTCTGCATCCAGCGCTTACTCTTCCTCATCTGTTTAATAATCTATTTGAGAATGCTCAAAAGAAAAAAAAAAATCCGATATAATTTGGATTCGTTAAAATCTTCTCAGCTGAAATTGATCCCCAGTCTAAGTGAAAGTATTGATTTTTAGCTGTTGTTTTTAGGTGTACTTCATTCCTAGTGTATCGTGTTTATAGTTGACTTATAAACCTACCTTAAATCCTAACATGTGTTTCATGACAACTTCGGTTACAAACTTCAGTTTTGTTTTTAACTTTTTTTCTCCACAGGATAATGATTATGTTGGCAGCTTATTTTCTTGTTCTGTGTTTTTTCTACAATGGTGCTGAATCTGATGATGATGATGCAGTTTTACTTTTTGTTTACATGTATCAAGGTTTTAGTTCCATATAGTCTTGCTTCATCTAGCAAGTTTTTTTTTGTTGAGCCATGGAATCCAATTACTTCAGCTTTGCAGATTAGTAGATCGGCCGCTAGTTTTGTTCCTGTTGTGGCCTGAGCATGGCTATGTTTTTATGAGTGAGTTCCTGAAATTTGCTGTGATCTCTTGTTTTCTTGATGCAATGTGTGCTTTTGCTTGATTCTCTGGCTCTATTAAGTATTAACTGCTAATTTACCTGGACATTGCATTATTCTAGAACCCTTGCTTTTGCATTACTATGTTCATTCTTGTCTATTGGTAAGGAATCCACATAGAATAGTGTAATAATTACTCAAAAACTTTGGTACATTGCGCAATCCAGAGTGCGTGATAACCCTTTAATCAGGATCCAAGTGGTGATATTCAGTGATTAATAACAGTCTAGAGAGCCATGCTGCTAATTTTTGTTCCTTTGGCATTACTATTTATGAAACTGGCTGTTCAAGAAGAATCAAATTCACTCTTTAAACTTTTGTGTCTCTATCTATCTCTGTTGAAAAAGACACTTTTGTTATTAGTCATTGGTCTTCTTCTTGTGTTCTCTTTTTTTTCCCCTCACCTTTGGCATCACAGAGAAAAGGTGAGGGAATCTTGTGAAGTGAATGGATTCCTGAGCTCGTGGGTTAAAAATTTCTTGGAGCAAACTTCAAATGGTAACATGATTCCATTCTCAAATTAGGTAAGAAAAGGAGAATATATCTTGTTCTTTTTCAAGATCAAGACTTGTTATCTTTCTTAGATTCCCTCACACAAGAGGGGCTGTAAAATATGAGAAAATACTGTTACTCTCTTATCTTCTTATAGAGAAGTTGTGATGATGGTGGTACTACTAATAGTATGATATCGCTTTCTAGGCTGATGCTTAAACAAACATGAACTTAAATAGCATAGTAATGAAATCCATGAACAGGCATCATGGATATCCGGGCTTGAGTTTCTTTACATTGGATTTGGTAGGACTTTTTCTAGAACTTGAAATGGTGAGCTTGTTCCTTTTAAGGTCTAGTTATGGTACTACTATACATTATGGGCAAATATATATTTTGTAAATGCTATGGAACTAGTGATCAGGTGTGTATGCTCGTCTTTCTTCAATCATGTGCAATTTATTAGGAATAGAGAAAAAAACTGATTTTATAAACCGAAGTGAGTCTAGATTTTACTAGTTTAATTGCAGTTTCCGGTTTTGGTTCATACAACATGATGTTTATTCTACAATGGCCAGTTTCCGGTTTTGGTTCATACAACATGATGTTTATTCTACAATGGCTTTGATTGGTAACACAATGAGGCGTTTAAAGGTTGATCCGCTTCGATTACCAATCGAACGGATGGAACATATTGCTCGAAGAGGCTGCTAAAACGTATAGCTACATTTGAATACTAGCGGTTGGATTTTTTCTAATTTTATTTGTATGTTTTCTAATGTTTCAATGTATTCATTTTTGTTGTTCTTATTTTGTAGTACATCTCTGATGTTACTGTTACAATAAAATTCTTGTACGACATATCAAAGCAAAGATTCAGTTTTGGATCGGCAACGAATGGCTAAGCTTGAACACAAAATTGCCACGTAGGATAAGTCTGACCAATTATAACCCATCATTCAAATCCCCTTTCTTCAATCTTAACCAGGAACTCAATTTATTTATAATCTTTAGAAAAAAGGTAATGAAAGCTGAAGAAACAGTTTGCAGACAACATTGAAGAGAAGTATTAGAGATTCTTTGTCTCTTTCTCTGTCGCATTGATTCGAAAAAAGTGTGGCAGAGAAAACCATGGCTATGGCGGAGATGGCTATGAAGTCTTCACTATCTGCAAAACTCACTCTTCCTTCTTCTTCTTCCAAGAAGACACTGAGACAAATCTCTGTTTCACTTCCAACATCAACTTCAATCTCTCTGTTATCTCTCTTTGCATCTCCTCCTCATGAAGCTAAAGCTGCTGTTTCCATTTCCAAGGACCAAATCGTCTCCTCTATCACTGAAGTACTGACAATCTCACTTAACTCTGTCTTGTAATGACCAAATTGTCTCCTTTTGTTGATAAGTGTTCTTGTCTTTAACAGGTGGAGAAAACAATCAATCAAGTTCAAGAAACTGGTTCTAGTGTTTTTGATGCAACTCAGCGTGTGTTCCAAGTAGTAGGAGATGCTCTTAAACCAGCTTTGGACACTGCTTTACCACTCGCGAAGCAAGCTGGTGAAGAAGCTATAAAGCTTGCTTCTCCTGCTTTCTCAGAAGCTTCAAAGAAAGCTCAAGAAGCAATGCAGAGCTCTGGTTTTGATTCAGAGCCTGTCTTTAATGCTGCAAAGGTCAGATTTTTTTACATTCAAAGTTGTTTGGAGAACTTAGAAATTTAGGGTTTAGGGTTTAAAGTGGTTTGTATTGTTTTTGGTTGGGATGTAGACCGTAACAGATGTAGCTCAACAGACGACAAAAGCGATAGAAGATGCTAAGCCGATTGCTTCGTCGACCATTGAGACGATTTCTTCAGCTGATCCTAATGTCATTGTTGTTGCTGCTGGTGCTGCGTTTCTTGCTTACCTTCTTCTCCCCCCTGTTTGGTCTGCCATCTCTTTTAACTTCCGTGGATACAAAGGTACCTTAGTTTATTCAGCCTGAAACTCCATATAGTATATCATTTTGAGAACCAACATAAATGAGTTTTTGATTTTTTGGTGAATATGTCACAAATGTTATTGGTTAATTGGTTATCAGTTATCTATTTTGTATCTAGATTCTAATTCAGCATAGCAAAATATTGACAATTACTCTGTGTTTGGGGTTTATGTTTTTTAATGAAGGTGATCTCACGCCGGCTCAAACGCTTGATCTTCTTTGCACCAAGAACTACTTGATGGTAGATATAAGATCAGAGAAAGACAAGGAGAAAGCCGGAATTCCACGGCTCCCTTCAAATGCTAAGAACCGTGTGATCGCCATTCCGTAAGTGATTGTTTTAACTTTGATCATTCTTTTTTTGTTTACTATACCAGCAGATTTGAAAGAAACACAAAACTATGTTCTTGTAATCATCAGATTAGAAGAACTACCGAACAAAGTAAAAGGAATAGTGAGGAACTCGAAACGAGTTGAAGCAGAGATAGCAGCATTAAAAATTTCTTACCTCAAGAGAATCAACAAAGGCTCTAATATCATCATCTTGGACTCGTGAGTTTTGTTAATATCTCTTTACAAGACCTTTTTGTGAATCTTTTTTAAACTTTATTAGTCTTTATATGGCTCGTAGATACTCGGATTCGGCTAAAATAGTGGCGAAAACGTTAAAGGTTCTCGGGTTCAAGAATTGTTATATTGTGACAGATGGATTCTCTGGTGGCAGAGGATGGTTACAGAGCCGGTTAGGTACTGATTCTTACAACTTCTCGTTCGCGCAAGTATTGTCTCCATCGCGGATTATCCCGGCAGCTTCTAGAAGTTTTGGCACTAGATCCGGAACCAAGTTCCTTCCTAGCTCCGACTGAAAAACAAGAGGATACTATATATAGTTTAAAAGTGTTGTTTTATATTCCCTTTTGATAAGATTTTCGAATTATTTACTTGTCTTTTACATTTGATGATCATTTGTGTAACCAGAAAATAAGATGAAATTGAAACAGTAGTAGCTGATCATTAGAAAAAGTTATGAATAATTTATGGACTCTAATTGTAATATCACATAGATGCAAAATCATTTTGGACATCTGGTAGGTATGTGTGGCCTTAGCTTTATCTTAAAGTGGGACTGCCAATAACTTTTTGCTAAAATCCATTTTGAAAATGGTTGAAGATATAAAAATTAGATAAGTTCTCTTGGAGTTTAGTTTAGTGCTTTCAATAATGTGAAAATCAAGATATGAATTTGGTAAAATATTACGAATATTGTGCAATACATAGTTGATCTATATACCAATTATTTAAATCAAAATGTTTTCTAATTAATAAGGAGTTTGAATGGTAACACCGGCCACTCTGAATTTGTCTACAACAAATAGTTTGTAATTTTGTATAAATAAACTTCTATAGTGTAGGGGATGTGCCTTTAGTCAAGTGGATAAGTCCATTTGACTCCGCCTTCCCAATCAGAGTTCGACTCTACTAAATCGCGTTATCCCGCGTAGTAAGAATTAGCTATGGATCAAACCTTGTCGATCCAAAGATGTAAAAAAAAAAAATTCTATAGTGTAAAATGTTGTCCATCCCAAACAAATAAAATTGTCTAAATTGTATTATATCATTGAAATCTTAAACATGTATTACTCTACTGATTCATAAAATTCAAACTAGTGTATCTAGACTGAAATAAACATCATATAACCAAATAAGATGATATCAAAAGTCGAAAAGAGAAAGTAAGATGAAAAAAGGGTGTCAGAGAATACAACTACACAATGTATATAGACCGAAACCAATTTGAAGATACATGAAATCATATAAAGTAACCAAATGTAAAGTGTTATCTTCTTATTAGAAAAAAGAAAAGAGTTATCTTCTTTTCATCAATATATCATTCAATCAACTTTGAGAGATCTTTTATCATTACCACATGCTTTTTTTATTTTATTATTTTTTTTTTTTTTTATTAGTGTTACTGTAACTCTTATATCACTTCTATTATGATTCCTAACATATGTTATTACTATCATATAATAATAATATGTATAAGTTTGTTAGCTGGAACTGTAAGCTTTACCGGAATAGTGCAAAACTGTAAGAAAGAGCTGTACAAAAGAAGTGTACAAAAAAACTGAGAGTAAAACTGTTGAATAACGCTTTTGATAAAACTTTTGTGATTAGTAACTGTCAAAGTTGTACACACTCTACCGCTTTGATACCATTCAAAGCCATAGACTGAAATCAATAGAAAGATTTGGTGACTTATGTCTAATATATGCAGCCTAGATTCTGAACTGATTCATATATAATAATAAAAGTTCATATTTCATACAATGTATATAGACTGAAATCAATAAAAAGATTCATAACATGATAATAATAATAACCAGAATGTGTAACTCCTATCAAGAAAGAAGATGATAATCAGACGTGTAAAGAGTGAAAAAAAGTTTCAAAGATCAGAACCAGATTGACACGTGGCAATCACGAGCTCTCTTTATATTACGTGGACAATTTTGCCACTCATCTCTGCCACTCTCATTTTTTTTTGAATCATTCATGCTTTGTTGTTGTTCTTAGCTCTCTCTTCTCTCTCAAAAATGGCGTACAAATCCCTAAATTCAATCACCAGATCTGATATCGAAGCTCTAGGAATCTCCGGTGATGTCTCCGAGAAGCTTCTCAAAGACCTCGATGAGATCATTCACGGTTCCTCCATGCCGCCGGATACGTGGATTCAGATTTCTCGGCGAATCCTTCACCCTAATCTCCCTTTCTCTTTTCACCAGATGATGTATTATGGTTGCTACAAGGATTTCGGACCCGACCCACCCGCTTGGTTACCCGACCCGTACGAATTGTTACCATTAATTGATTTTTTTCTTCAGATTTTTATGATTATTGAAGATATGATGATTTGCTTTGTTGTTGTGTATTTTAGGAAGGTTGCTTCTTTAACTAACGTAGGCAAGTTACTAGAAAGGCGTGGCAAAGAGTTTTTAGGTGAAAATTACAAGAATCCAATTTCGAGTTTTTCGAGTTTTCAAGAGTTCTCTGTATCAAATCCTGAGGTAACTAACATTGGTGTTATTATGCCTAAATTTTTGTAATTCTGTTTTTCATGGTGATTCTTTTGATCAGGTGTATTGGAAAACTGTATTGGATGAGTTAAACATAGTGTTTTCTGTACCTCCTAAGTGTATATTAGAGAAAGATACATCTGGAGATAATCCTGGAGGTAATTGGCTTCCTGGAGCTTACTTGAATCCTGCTAGAAATTGTTTGACTAATGGTTTCAAGAGAAGATTGGATGATATTGTGATTCGATGGCGTGATGAAGGAAGCGATGATCTTCCTGTGAATACCATGACACTTTTGGAGTTACGATCGCAAGTCTGGTATGAATTTCTCATCCTTGTGGCCTTTTCTCTTTGGTGAAGAATGCTCAATGAAGTCGATTTCTTTACTGATTCCATTTTTCAAGTGTTGTGTTTCATATCAAGATCAAGCAGACAATTGTTATCTGTTGTGTAGGTTAGCTGCACATGCTCTTAGTGCTTTGGATTTGGAGGAAGAGTCAGCAATCGCTGTTGATATGCCAATGAATGTTGAGTCTGTGATCATATACCTTGCCATTGTCTTAGCAGGCCACGTAGTTGTTTCCATAGCCGATAGTTTCTCTCCCCGTGAAATATCAACACGGCTTAAAATTTCAAAAGCAAAAGCTATATTCACTCAGGTAAATTTGTCATGATTCTTTGATGGATGGAAAATGAAGGTGTAAATTTTGCTGTTAAGTTATTTTAGAGTGTAATGCAATGGTTTTAGTGATGAACTGTTTGCATTTTTGCCTTTTGAATTTAGTTCAAGTTGTGGCCAAATTCTGAACGGTTGTTATTTGATCTGTGGATTTTTAAACATAGCCCAGATGGAAAAAGCTACTTTGTTTGATTTATTGGAATGGTCACTGTTTGAAAACAGCATATAACATGGTTTCTACTCATTTGAAATTGTGAAAAGCCACTTTATTTGAATTATTGTAATGGTCACTGTATAAAAGCCACTTTTCTTGTTTGCAGGATGTGATCATTCGTGGTGATAAAAGTATTCCCCTCTATAGGTGAAGTTCTAGTAATCCAACAGTGCTGGTTTTATCTCAACGCTGTAACTCTGGTCTGACATTACTGTTCCATTCTGCAGAAGAGTCATTGATGCAGAAGCACCTCTGGCAATTGTTGTCCCAGCTAGAGGCTCTAGCTGCAGAATGAAGCTGCGCGAGAAGGATTTGTCTTGGAACAACTTTTTGGGAAAGGCAAGAAATTTGAGGTACACAGTGAATTCAATACTGTTGTATAAACAGTCATGCAATGTAACTACAACGATTTTGTCTGAGAAAAACTTAGAGCTTGCTTGTTCCCGGAGATTTGAACATGATATATGCTATACTTGTTCCTTCAGAGGTGTGGAATATGTTGCTGTAGAGAAACCAGCGGGAGCTTACACGAACATCCTTTTCTCATCCGGAACCACTGGTAAATCAATGAAAATAAATTGCATCATGGTATGTAGATGAGGATGTGGGTGTTGAATTACCAATTTTTGGTTTTCTGGTGTAGGTGAGCCAAAGGCTATTCCATGGACGAACATTTCTCCTCTGAAATCTGCTGCTGATGCCTGGTGCCACTTGGATGTTCATCGGGGGGATGTTGTTGCTTGGCCGACCAACCTTGGGTGGATGATGGGTCCGTGGCTTGTTTATGCTTCTTTGATAAATGGGGCATGCATGGCATTATACAATGGATCACCTCTTGGTCCTACCTTTGCAAAGTTTGTGCAGGTATGCCATAACGATACATTCTCATCTCATGGTTTAAGCAGAGAGAAAAAAAACCTTAAAAGAGACAAAGCAAAACATAGTTTATGCAAATATTTCCAGAAATCAAATCATAAAACATCAAAATGGGATCTATGGATGACTGAATTTCATTGCATGGTTGAGTCTGGGATTTAGGCAGCCTTGAATTTACAATATGTTTATATTCTGGGGTTAGGATGCCGAAGTAACAGTTCTAGGCGTGATACCAAGCATTGTTCGGACATGGCAAAACTCGAACTCTACTTCTGGCTATGATTGGTCACGAATCCGGTAATACAGAAGTGCATCTTCAGAATGTTGTTAAGCCTGAATTTGTTGTGACGTGGACCTTATTAAATGGTTTGAGAAAAAGAAAGTAAATTAGTTTTAATGTATTCATGCCACCACTTATTTTTCCATAAATAAATCTATCTATTTTGGTTCAAGTATTGTAGCTAGTTCTTTAAAAAATGTTCAAGAAACATCTTATGTAGTTGGTAAAGTCAAGAAGATTTGTCTATGCAGTAACATTGATGTTTTATATTTGATACTTTTTCCATAGTTGTTTTGGTTCCACTGGTGAAGCTTCAAACATAGACGAGTATCTATGGCTGATGGGCAGAGCACATTACAAACCCGTAATCGAGTATTGTGGCGGAACTGAGATTGGAGGCAGTTTTATCTCAGGTTCTTTGCTTCAGCCTCAGTCGCTGGCTGCTTTTAGCACAGCTGTCATGGGTTGCAAGCTTTTCATTCTCGGTGAAGATGGCAATCCTATTGTAAGAAACTTTATGCAATCGTAGATGATGTCTTTTGTTTTAATCGAAAAGGCTTGTAATTGGATGTGTGATTTTTTTTGTTTCCTTCCTCGTTTTAGCCTCCATACGCAGCAGGAGTAGGCGAATTGGCTCTTTGTCCTCACATGTTTGGAGCTTCAAGCACCCTCCTGAACGGAAATCACTTCAAAGTTTACTTCCAAGGAATGCCCACCTTCCAAGGACAGGTAATCCAACCCTTGCCATATATATACAGAGGTTTTCATTGGTGTTAAGTCTGGGGCTTGCCTGCTTTTCGATAGATTTTACGAAGACATGGGGATTTATTTGAACGGACTTCAAAAGGATACTACCGTGCTCATGGACGTGCTGATGACACAATGAATCTTGGTGGCATAAAGGTAGCTTTACTGTAGAGATTCTTATATAGTATTGAAATGCACAGGCCTAACAATCTGCATTATCATCATCATAATCATATTCTGTTGATTGTTCTTGTGCAGGTCGGTTCTATTGAGATAGAACGAGTCTGTAATTCCGTTGATGACAGTGTTCTGGAGACGGCAGCCATCGGTGTTCCACCTCCTAGTGGCGGTCCTGAGCAGCTAGTAATCGCTGTTGTGTTCAAGAGCCCAGAAATATCGAAACACGATTTGAACGTCTTGAAGAAGTCCTTCAACTCTGAGATACAAAAGAAGCTGAATCCATTGTTCAAGGTTTGTAACAAAAACAAAACACAAGAGAGTTCAAGTTGTTGTGTGGCCAATGTGGATGTTTATGTATGTGTTTTTCATCTGGCAGGTATCATCTGTTGTGACTCTGCCTTCTTTACCAAGGACGGCCACAAATAAGGTTATGAGAAGAGTTCTAAGGCAACAACTTACTCAGACCAGTCTAAACTCGAAGCTATGAGGCAATTGCTCTCCAATACCAAATGTTGGTTTTTGCCATTCACAACATTTGGTCTTTGTTGTAAAATCCACATCCATGTCTGTATCAATAAATGATTCTCAATTCACATAAATAAAGAGTGGATCTAGTGTACATACATGTAGTGAGATCCTTCCTTACCCTCTCTCTCCATGTGAATCTCACTCAATTTTGGTTATGATTTTATTTCGAAACAAAATTAGAAGATAACAAAAACCTGATCATTCAAATTTATAGAAAATGAATACTGTAGTAGAAGATTAAATAGGACTTGCTATCCAAAACGCAACATAAAAACAATAATCATCACACAATAATTTTTTTTTTATATATATAAATAAAAAATTTTAAAAGATTTTGAGCAATTAAAAAAAAATTGATGATTGGGGTTGGTGACCAATTAAGAGGTGTGTACTATGACTTATCTGGGAATTAGGGGGTGAATTCGAATATTTTACTAGATACACGGACATAAACGTGAAAATATGAAAGATGAGAGGTAAGTAAATTCTCTAACGTACGCCAGGCAGTGCAAGATAGTACACGACTCGCTTATCTTTTCCTTTTTACACAGAAGCCTAAGAAGCTAAACAGAACGAAGAACGGCGAACGGCGAACGGCGACGGAGGAACCATGTCCTCGTCTCTTCTTCTCTCCGGTTCTACTGTATCTTCTTCGTTTAACGCTCCATCAAAGCTGTAATATCCTCTCTCTCACTTCATCTTCTTTCTTAGGGAATCTAAATTTGATTTTGGGGGGTTTTCTTTGCGTCTTTGTTCTAGTCGTCGTAGGCGGAAAATTCGAATTTGCAAAATTTTAGGGTTTGTTTATTGTTTGTTCCAGAAATTGAATTCTTAAAAGCTTTTGTAATCGAGTTGTTGTTTTCTGAATTTGCAGTTCTTTGGTACGAAACTCCAATAAGACATCACTGTTACCATTTCGGAATGTTTCAAGAAGCTTCAAAAGCGTTAGGTGCTCCGTTGATTCTTCATATGGAGGTATTGTCACTTCTTCTACACTCAATTTCTCAGTTTTATCCAATTTCGATTAGGATTTGTTCGTTGTCGTTTGTGTGTAACAATTTGAATGAGTGTATGGACTATGTTAGGATTCTTTAAGGACAATGACTTCTCGGAGAAGAATCATAAGGAGATATATAGTAGAAAGCTGGCTTAGTGTTTCCACTTATCTTTATCGAATTTGAGCTTTTCGTTGTTACTCATGTCTTGCTACTAATTCAATGTGAAGGGATATGACATGTTATGCTTTCGAATGACTTTGTATAGGCAACGTCCCCACGTTCCCTCGGACCAGAGTTTGGGACCCCTACAAACGTCTAGGAGTTAGTCCATATGCTTCCGAGGAAGAAATCTGGGCCTCTCGTAACTTTCTCTTACAGCAGTATGCTGGACATGAGAGAAGCCAAGAATCTATAGAAGGCGCCTTTGAGAAGCTTCTGATGTCTAGTTTTATCAGAAGGAAGAAGTCTAAAATCAATCTTAAAACTAGGTTGAAGAAGAAAGTTGAGGAATCTCCTCCCTGGCTCAAAGCTCTTCTTGATTTTGTGGAAATGCCTCCCATGGACACTATATTCAGAAGACTGTTCCTCTTTGCCTTCATGGGTGGTTGGAGTATCATGAACTCAGCAGAAGGCGGTCCTGCCTTTCAGGTTTGTTACTTATACAATGGCCCTTATATACAATCAGCTAATCTATACTAGACATCTTACAATTTGATTAACTATTTGACCCATAGATAAAGTCGACGAGTTTCTCTTCTATCGTGTTCACATATATGGTTTCTGAAATCTTTTGTTGTACTTGTAGGTGGCGGTATCGTTGGCTGCGTGCGTATATTTCCTGAATGAGAAGACAAAGAGCTTGGGGAGAGCTTGCCTAATCGGGTAAAATACTGGTCCTATCGAATTTGCTGAAACGAAACTTAAAGCTCATTCGTTTTTTTCATGTTCTGTTTGGCTTTTATGATTGCAGAATTGGAGCTTTAGCTGCCGGGTGGTTCTGCGGTTCGATAATCATTCCCATGATTCCGACGTTTCTCATTCACCCGACATGGACACTCGAGCTCCTAACATCATTGGTTGCTTATGTGTTTTTGTTCCTTTCTTGTACTTTCCTCAAGTAATCTGCGGTTTTATCCAAACACTTTTTTGTTCCTTTGCCCAAACATTTACAGAACCGTTCGGAAAAATTAGTGAAAGTTATTAAGTGTTTGATTGGTTTCACAGTTTTCTTTTGTACGAAATCAATCGGGTTAAGTATCTAACCCTTCAAATGAGAAAGAATTCATTATCCCTCTGAAACTTTATATATCAAACTAACAATAAATAATTCTTTTGTGGTCATATTAATCATCAAATTTATCACACTCAAACTTTTGACTATCTTTATATATCAAACTAACAATAAAAGAATTCTTGGTCATGCTGTCTGATAGTTGTGTTGTGTTAGAGTTGTGGTGAGTTTGCAATCGTTCCTTTGAGAAGTTTATCACAAATGAATGGTAAATGATTTCAATGTGTTTGGTGTGTTCATGAAAAACCGAATTTATGCTAGTTATAGCTGCCACATTATTGCAATAGAAAGGAACAAATTCCGGGTGAAAAAAAAAGCCAAAATGATGTCACTCGCGGTATCATGGATCGATACTCGTTTCCGGTGTCAACCAAAAAATGTTGTAACATGGTAATAAATTAATTGTCCAATTCTTAAGAACAATCCTCAAATTCATCATATACATGGAAGAAAACAATTTCAAAATTATATATATGTAGATAAATATCTATTTTTGATTTGAATACATGAATTTGTTTTTCAAACTGATCTAACCAAGAATTTTTTTTTTTTTTTTTTTTTTTTTTTTTTTTTTTTTTTTTTTTTTTTTTTTTTTTTTTTGATCTAACCAAGAATTTCCTTCCAAAAATTTTGTAAATTCGATCATCTAAATAGGGTATGAGAAATCTTCCAAATCTCTTGCTTTAAACTTGCCGTTGAAATATTGATGTGTATATCACACTAACAAAATAGAAGAGAAAGGAATCAAAATTTATCATAATGGAGAAAATGGTGTTGAGCAAAGTAGTTCTTCTTGCACTTCTGTTATCTCTTTCATGTGAGTCCATTTGTCAACTTATAAATACATCACATTTTCATCTGTATGTGTGTGTGTTTTATAACTTTTAAACCCTCGTGATTCTAGTATTACAATGTTGTTATAGACTTCTAGTCGATTTATCGTATACCCTTAAACAATATTGATAAATGTTAAGATGAATAAATGTCCTAGGTTTGTGGGTAGCTAAAGCATCGGAAAGAAGAACGAGAGTTAGTCAAGAAGTGAGAGATGCCAAAAAACAACGTGGAGGGCCTTGCACCGACGAGAACACTTGCCACCAGATTTGTCCGGACTGTATAATCGCACAATGTATCTTCAAACAATGTGTTTGCTCTAAGTGTTTCCTCCCTCCTTCACAAGCAGCTTTTAGTGTTAAAACATTAATGTAGCTCTCTTTTTCTCATTTTTCTCATCCACATATGTGACCAAACAATAAACCATTAATTTCCTACCAAAAAAATAAAAAGAAAACATTAATTGTTCTTAGAATATTTTCGTATAGTCTTTGTCTATTTTGCAAATGTCATATATATTTTTGAAGGTTCTTTTCCATCAATGCATTCACACATTAATATAACCAAACCCATGCATTTGCAAACCAATTTTCATGACCTGAGGACAACTTCACTAAAAGAAACATCAAACATCAACTAAATATTTCAAAAACATAAACAATTAGGAAGAATTAATTAATTAATTTGGAAACGAAATGGAAGGAGTTTTTAAAAGAACCGGCGCTTCCATGGAACACGATTGTTCTTTCTCACACAACAGCCACATGAGTAAAGAAACACGACGAGAAGGATAAGAAGGAGATTGACGACAAGAAGTATCCTCCATCTTTTTCTTATCCCTTTTAAAACTCCAATCTTACACGACTCGCACCCGTAACATAACTGGCTCTGCGTGTTACTCCATGTCTTACAATCCCCTGTGATCGCCGTAGTCGCTGTCGCTGGAACTGCCCACCACGTGGCATTCTTTGATTCGAACCCACATTCTACGGGAGGTCGACAGCAACCAAACTAAATAAAAGAAACATAAAACAAAAACCTCTTTTAATACTATACTGTACATTGTTTAAACCGTTGTCTAATTTGAAAGCGGATTAGTTTTTTGATGTCAAAATTAAATTTGAATCCAATTGATGTATAAATATAGAAATGTGTACACACATACCTGTACATTAGAGAGATGTTTGGAGTCAAAGTCAACGTCACGTGGACCAAACCTTTTACAAACCCTAGAATCAGACAAACATTTGGTGATCCCTTCCCAGTTCTTCCCACGAAGGAAATGGTTCCCGATCCAGTTCTGGAGATCTCCGGTCTTAACATTGCCTATTCCTTTGCCGGAAAACGCTTTTCCGGCGGTGGGATTCGTGACGAGGAAGATAAAGACGGAGAGGACAAGAAGGAGAAGAATGGAGAGGAAAAGGAAGAAGAGGTAGAGAGTGATGATGATGTGGCTTCCGTAGAGAGCAGCGATAAGGCCTAAGGAAGAGATGAAGAAGAGGAGGATCGCGGTTACGATGAGAGGGTTTTGAACGAAGCGTTGACACTGTGAAGGGCCTTGAACGTAGACGTAGACGGAGAAAGATAGAGCGGCGAGGCCGATCAATGCGAGGATTGCATTGGTTGTTATTACGGCGGCGTTGCTTAGTCGGAGCATTGTTTATTGGCGGTTATTTGGGACGGAGAGAGGGAAGAGACGTAAAAGTGGGGTTGTGGAGAAAACCAACGTCTTAAGTGTGATAGATATTAAATACATGCTATGAGTGTATACGAGGAGGTTAAGAAAATATTTGTGAAAATTCACTACTGGTCGGCGACATTTATATGATTATTTTTTGGTTTTGTTTTCAACTAACGACAATGGCACATTTGATATATAGCATGACTTCAACAAAGTTAAATATTAGAAGATGTGTTATTGCAAAAGATGCATTTAGATAACCAAAAAGGGTTAATTAAAGAGAAAAATGACTCAGTAATTTAACTTATATTTTTACAACCAAACAATGTGTAACATATAGAAGTACATATATATATATGTATATATTAACATCATATATATATATATATATATATATATATATACCAACATCATATCATTTTCACAACCGATTACTTTTGGGAATCAAATTTCACAACGTTATTCATTTAAATATATGTATAGGTATGAAATTTTACACACTAAGTATTAAATTATATCAAAAAAACTAATGAGATATATTATTGTCTCTCTGTAAAAACATGTGACGTTTAAAAGTTGCTTTTTTATTTTATTAAAACTAGTGAAAAACAACTGCATTGACATTTTGTAAGCCAAATTTACTTTAAACACACACAAAATTATTTTAAAACGATTGAAACGTTCGTTCGTTATGTAACTTATGTTGCTTTAAAAAAAACGATTGAAACGGAAAAAACTTTAATCTAGTAGGAATGAAAATGTGCCGCACGTGTAACGAAACTGTAAAAGTAGTTTAGTTTGTCTTTGGACGTGGCAAATGTTTCACCCCTGATTTGGCCATAAATTACGTGATTACCACATCGGCTTCAGCCACTACGTTCTGACGTGGTTTCCACTAAAACTAATAATAATGTGATAATGTTATGGACGGTGTTTAGTGAAGCCCTTTGACTTTGACTTCCATTGCTTCATTCATCAATGCCTCTATTCGTATAAAAAATTGGATAAATAAATATCATATGAAGATGAGTCAATTTTTGCTTCCTTTAATTCTAATTAAACGGAATTCAGATTTACGATATGGGGCGAACAGAAGTTCATTTCATTCCGAGTTCCGAATTTGTGGTTTATACGGTTTTCGGTTCAAAAAATGGTTTATTTGGTTATACTATGTAAAATTAACTAGTTTTTTTTTTGTGGGCTGTAATTTTGTAACTTATTATGTATTGGGCTGTATAAAATTCTTTTATGGGCTATGTAGAAATGTTATTTTAGGCCCAGAAACCCTAATTTCATCTTTTCTGTTACTTGCCGTGGAACACAATTTCTTTCTTCGCAATTTTGATGCATATTGACCAGTTTGCGAAGAAGACAAACTTCACTTCGTTATTCATTCTCAGATTAATCGTTTCCGTTAGAAGTTTCTGGTAACTGAAGGATTCTATACATTAAGCTCTAGTATTTGGCCTTTGCATTGTTAGGAATGTAAGGAGGTTTAACAGTTACTTTGTATACAATAGGGCTTAGTTAATTTTGAGAGTATTTACTGTTTTTCTTTTATATATTCTTCCTTTTCGATTTCCTTTGCCGATAGATAAGAACTTCAGGTTTGTGATTGTGACCAAACTATTGAATCTTACAAAATCTTTATGTAGATAGATTGAGAGCTAGTACAGTATAACTATCCAAGGACAACCTCTTGCCAAATTAATTCTCCGATCCAAGATAGACGACAAAAAAAAATCAATGATAAGAACACAAAGAGAGAAAGAAGAAAAGCATAAATGACAAGTACTACTTGTGCTGGAACCACATTAATATTATTTGGCTGGTAGTGGAATCAAAAGTTTGTCCTAACAAACACACTTTTCATTTGAAAGAAACCAATAGTTGAAAGAACATCGTATACTTTTCCATTTAGAATGGGGTAATATTACAAACTAACCATAGAATATAAAAGAATTAAGAGAATAGCCTTGTGTCAGAAAACATAGGTAAATAACCTTTTTTGGAGTGGGGTAAATACTAAAATATCCCTCTATTTTCTTGTTTTTGCAACAATGCCGGTGGTAGTATTTATAAAGTTTTTAATGATTATGTACAACTCCTGTTAAAAAATCATGTGTTTCTCTGAAATAGCACGATCTATTTACTAAAAGCATGCAATTCTCTTATATAACACCAAGTATTATATAACATATGTAATTGTTACAAAATTTCATGGGTTTTTGTTGGATAGCTTGCCAAATATTTATATATCAGTATTAATAGCATGTTTTGTCCTTAAAATACATGTATTTTGAAACCAGACATGTGTTTTAAAATCAGATTTAATCTCTTATATCATATTGGCGAATGGTGATAAAATCCAGCAAGGAGGATAAACTGTGAAAAATCATGTGTTTCTTTAAAATAGCACGATCCAGTTACAAAAAGCATGTAATTCTCTTATATAACACGAAATATTATATAACATATATAATTGTTAAAAAAATTCATGGGTTTTTGTTGGATAGCTTGACAGATATTTATATATCAGTGTTAAAAACATGTTTTGTCCTTAAAATACATGTATTTTAAAAGTCAGACATGTGTTTTAAAATCAGATCTAATCTCTTATATCACACTGGCGAATGGTGGAGAAATCCAGCGAGGAGGAAAAACAGAGAACGACCAAGGGATGAGAGAGGAAGAGATTTCTAGGAAAAAGAAAGAGAGAATATGTGGTGAAGAGATCTGATACTAGGAAGATATGGGTAAAAAAAAGAGATCCGGTGGTGAAAGAGAGAAGGAGAAAAAAAAAGGAGATTCTTTGATGAATCTAGTGAGTTCTCGAAAACAAAGAAGAGAGATTCAATCAGAGAAAAAGAGAGCTTCATGGTTGAAGTCTCGTCAGGAGGAAGAAAAAATAAACAGAGAAAGAAGAAGAAAACAAAAGGACAATATAGACCAAAAGTTGCCAAAAATTATGTAGCAAATGAGTACTATTTGGTCAAAAGTTATTTTGTTAATTCTTTTTAACTCAAAGGTTACTTCTTACATATTCTCTTTAGAATATACCATGTCCCACATAGCTAAAGAGAAAATATCTATTAACGACTCCGCAAAGAAAAAGGACTCTTAAATATGACGACACAATTCATGTTTAATATTTTCAAGAGTAAATTATTGAAATCTAGAAAGTAGTTTAAGAGGACACATAAATCACGTGGTATATGTACATCCAGGTAGGTGATATTACATATGCTATTTTCTGTGAAGAAGCTCTAGAGTAAACCCATAACATATATACATGGGCTATTTCGTAATTAATGTTTAAGATTTAGATCACATATCTGATTTTTATATTAAAAAAAGAAAAAAAAGTTTCCAAATATTTTCATGCAACGACAAAACAACGTCGTGCAAGAAATAGAATAATTGGTCTCCTTGATCAAAATGGGAGCTGGATTGACAAGGATTCAGGCATTGAAGCACTGGCAGTGGATTACTTTCAAACCCTTTTCTCTTCGTCTAACCCGATTGATTTTTCATCGGTGATCCGGGATATTCCCGAGACAATTACAGAGGAGATGAATGAGACGCTGGCTAAGGATGTTTCTTTAGAAGAAGTCCGAAGAGCTCTTTTCTCTCTCAATCCTGATAAAACACCTGGGCCGGATGGCATGACGGCAGCCTTTTATCAAAAATTTTGGGATATTGTGGGAGCGGACCTTTTCCATCTAGTCAAATATTTCTTTGTCTCTGGCACCTTTGACAGTCGACTCAACGAGACAAATATTTGTTTGATCCCAAAAACAGATCGGCCGAGATCAATGACATAGTTTAGACCGATAAGCCTCTGCAATGTTGCTTACAAAGTCATTTCGAAAGTTTTTAGCTCGCGCCTTAAGAAGATCCTTCCGGATATGATATCCGAGACCCAATCAGCCTTTGTGGCTGGTAGGCTTATAACTGATAACATTCTTATAGCTCAAGAGAATTTCCATGCTCTCCGTTCAAACGCTGCCTGCAAAAAAAAATTCATGGCCATAAAAACAGATATGAGCAAAGCGTTTGACAGAGTTGAATGGCAATTTCTTCGAGTTGTAATGGAGAAGATGGGGTTCTCTAAAACTTGGATTGATCGGGTTATGTTCTGCATTTCCTCGGTTTCTTATAAAGTGATTCTCAATGGAACTCCTCGTGGTCTAATTAAACCAACGAGAGGAATAAGACAAGGGGACCCAATATCCCCTTTTCTTTTCATCCTATGCACGGAGGCACTAATTGCCCAATTACGATCCGCAGAATGGAATGGCCACATTCAAGGTCTCCAAGTCTCGAAAGCAAGCCCATCAACCTTTCATCTCCTGTTTGCAGATGATAGCTTGTTCTTCTGTAAAGCGGATGAAAGCCAGGGGAAGGCTATAATTGACATTATAAGATCTTATGGCGAGGCTTCTCGACAACAACTAAATTTCCGAAAATCCTCGGTGATGTTTGGCAAGGACGTTGATAACCAAACCCGGAGTACCATCAAGCGAACCCTTGGGATATCCAGCGAAGGCGGTATGGGTACTTATTTGGGTCTCCCTGAAAAAATCCATGGCTCCAAAACCCAAGTTTTTGCTTTTGTCCGAGACCGCCTCCATAGCCGACTAAATACCTGGTCGGCCAAATTCCTTTCCAAGGGTGGGAAAGAGATTCTTATAAAATCAGTAGCTCAAGCCCTTCCAACATATGTTATGTCGTGCTTCCTCCTACCTAAAGCCATCAGCTCAAAACTAAAAAGTGCTATTGCGGATTTTTGGTGGAAGACCAGAGCTGATAGTAAAGGAATCCATTGGATCGCCTGGGATAAACTATGTACCCAACTTTCAGAAGGGGGTTTAGGCTTTAAAACTTTAGAGGAATTTAACTTGGCCCTACTAGCTAAGCAACTATGGCGCCTAATCAAATTCCCAAACTCCCTCCTCAGCCGTGTCCTCCGGGGTCGGTACTATCGGTACAGTGACCCACTTGAGATCAAAAAATCTAATAGGCCCTCTTATGGATGGCGGAGTATTATGGCTTCCAAACCCCTCCTTATCTCGGGATTAAGGAGGATTATCGGTTTAGGGATGAACACCAGAGTTTGGTTAGACCCCTGGATTCCCGACATTCCGGCTCGCCCTGCCAAAGGCATAACGGCCGAGAGAGATCCACATCTTTATGTGGACCATTTGATTGATCCTGTTTCGAAACTTTGGAAA